CTCGGATGGCTGTTTCATCAGAGAAAGTGCAACACGACTATTTCGCTGCCTTCTTTCCATTTTACCCATGTAACAATTGACCAGCACAACATTTTAGCTCGGGGGCATGCTACACTGTGGCTGACCCCAAGTTCTTTTATTTTCTGCTGTAACAAATGGGGAAATAAACACTTTCAGATTTCATTTGATTCGGGTCAGCTTTATTCTTTGATTCCGCCCCCACCACCATTGATAGAAGCACACAAATGCAGGACAGCCTCATGTGTATATGTGTGGGATTTTTTTTAAGAGCAATGCAAAGAGACAGCTAGAGATGATGCCATTACCATCCTTTTATTGAGGCATTTTTCTGTTCGAAATGCAGAAAGTAAATAAAGCTAGCATGACAGAGGCAGACACTCAGCTCAATTCACATCCACGCATGAAGGCATTCAGATAAAGGTCTAAAAAAGAAAAAAATGGGTGGCCATGAAAATGATTTGCAAGCAAGTCCATTGTTTATGACACCTCTCTGCTGAGTAACAGCAGGAAAGGGCGCGCCCAGGGCTCAACTGCCATGAAGTGAATGCGGGACCCAATTCTGAAGACCATTTATTTTTCCATACAGCCTGGTCTGCCATCCTCATGCGACTGTGGACTCAAAGGGTGATTTTCTTTGCATGAAAACTATTTGGAGACAAAAACGAGAGCACTGCACACTACTTCTGTCAAACTCTTTGATCTGGCCTCGCGTAACCTACATGATGACGGTTACTCAACCGTATAAAATGATGCCAACCATCGACTGCTGTGCTCTAGAACAGATGTAGCAGAACTGCGATCCACCAGCCAGGTGATGACAAATATTATGTCGTAGGACAGTGTTTTTGTTTTTTTTTAAATTACAGTAAGTAGTAAACAGTTACTCTGTAAAATTTCACAAATCAAAAGATTTGGATTTGCAGATTTCAAGTATAAAACCAAGAAATTCTGCTCACTGATTTTCCAGCATCAACTATTATGATCCAAACCAAGGGCACCAAACTACATCACTACATAATAAGCTGGAACCCATCAAAACCTGTCATCCTCATTTCCAGCTCATTATTTTTCATTCTTGGGTTGCACTCAAGCAGGTCTGCATGAATAACATTTAAAAGTATTAGATCTTTCTCTAATACTGGGCCTTGATGCCGCCCCTCAGTTCTAACTGTCTATAGCAGGCCTTTGTAGCTCCCACTCCTCACCACTTATAGGGACCATTTTAATGGTGGTTGCACAGCCATGCTGCCATTTATAGTGGCGCTGAGCACGTGCTCACTGCAGTATTCTGCCAAATGATAGGTGTCAGTCACCAAGTACAAGAGTAGAAGACATCAAAACTGGAAGAAAAGAAATTGAAGAGGTTTTTTTGTTGTGGAGGTTTTCGCCAGAAAGTCTCCTTTTGAGTTGAATTTAAGATTCTGCGCTGATACATCATTGCAGTGGCGGTAACAACTGACACAACTATACACATGATGTTACAAAGGTTGAATCTACGTAAGAGCATCTAAAACAGGGGTGTCAAACTCAAATACACAGTGGGCCAAAATTCAAAACTGAAACAAAGTCGCGGGCTAACGTTAATATTTATTGAAACATATTTATTCCTCCAGATATAAGAATGAATCTTTTCTTATGGACTCAAACACGTTTTGCTGAAAAACTGAATATCGAACAAGCAAAGCTTAATACTAAACAATATATATATTAGCTGTATAATACCAGTAGGCCAGCTCTGATAGTAATTTGGTATGGCTTCGCGGGCCAAATGTAATTAGGCTGCGGACCAAATTTGGCCCGCGGGCCAGAGTTTGACACCTATGATCTAAAACGACATCTTAGCTCGACTTCACCACCAGATGTAACACCACTTTCGGTGCGCAATGCCATCCACCAGTGCAAAAACGGTCTCTAGGGTTTAAACAGCCCAAATTGTGCGCCTGAGATTAGTGTATTAGGTAGATGCACTCTCTCTGACATCATACAGAGCCAAGAGTATTAAAAACTGTCTTAAAATGAGCATTTAGAGCAGTCGGAAATCTGATCCTCTGGCTGAGATTACAGAAGTTAAGGAAACCGATAATATGCCCCCTTTAATGAACTTCCCATTTACAAAATTAGTAAAACATGTTAAAAAAAAGTTTTTTTCTCAACCAGTCACTCTGCTGTTATTCTAAGGAAGATGTTTATTTGATTGAAGCCCACCCACAAGTAGAACCGAGCAATGAACAAATCTTAAGGCTTCCAGTGACTGTATTTATCAAGCAAAGACACAGTCAAAATCACAACTATTTGGGGTATAAAAGGTCTAAAAAGACAATATAAGGTCAATGGGAGTTCTGATGATGCCGCAGTCCATCTCCAAGCTGCTATGACCTCATTCGCACTGCAAACCTTCATCGCTGAGAACCGGTGACTGTCACTGCATGCTCTAATTTTATCTCTGTTTAATGAATATACTAATTAACTAACATATTAATCAAGCCGTTGTGCATGAAACCAATATATTTGGCCTCGATACTGCAATAAAATTACAGATACTAGCTCTCGTGGCTGATTTCTTTCTAAGCACATCAGTTGAATTAATCTGCAAAAAGCTCCATGGTTTCAGAAAAAATTTCCAAACAAGGAAATCAAGTATCTCCAAATAATTTCCATTATGGAAAGAGGAGACATCATATAGAGTTATTACATTATATAGAGATACTTTAAGGCCTTTATATGTAAAGTAGATACTACCAGTTTTTACTGTCCCTCAAGTTCACAAACCAAATTAGCCACATCTAACTGCTTCAAAGGCAGATTTTCTCTTGTAGTCACAAGTCATGATTCTTCTTGAAATGGGCGAAGCACCATGCCCAGACACTCTGTTATCTACCTGATCTACCATACTTGTCAATTCACGACGTGACGGCAGCAACAAAAATAAATAGCTCTGAATCAGATCGATGCCCAATGATTGCAACGGAAAATGGAACAAGGCGCGGGGAAAGAGGAATCTCATCTCGAGGGGAATTGGATTTTGAGAAAGATTTAACCGAGGGCTCGTCTGTTATGCATGTAGCCCACATCTTCTTGGATTCCACAGCAGCTAATAACTTTAGCAGGAATGGAAGGTTGTTCGAGCTCCAGCTGTGATATTTGAACGTATGCGCGCAGTCGCACGCGGGCATAAATACGCAAGCTGGATCGCCTCTCAGTATTTCCATTTCCCCTTGAGTCCTATTAATGTCATTTAGCAGCCATGATTGAGGTGGCCCACTCTCAGCTTCCACACCAGCATTCCTGCTCACAAATCCTCATCAATTGCTCCAATCAGTCTTACCACAGAGCCAATACTCTACAGTGAGACAACTCTTATTTCCCACCGCATTAATGAACTCTTTCATTTGAAAGCCTTTGACTGTCTGCCTCTTGATTGCAAAGCCAAGGCCAATAGGCCTCGGTGACAGCTCCTTGAAAATTAAAAGTATCAATCAAGACGGGAAGGGGAGGGGGGAAAAAGTTGTAATGGTTTCAGATTCTCCTGTCGAGCAGAGAGAGAAGGGGAAGCTAAATGGGATCAGGTGGCATTTCAAAATGCATGTTGGGGCTCGTTTTACCTCGTTTTATTGCTAGATGGGTGGTACTTGCAGGATAAGGGTTAAAAATGTTAGATAAGATAATTAAACATGTTAAAGGTTCATTTTTATGAATCAGTGGGATGTAAATCCAATTATTTGTACTGAAAAACTCATGTTCGCTGTTGTCTGTGCACCTTGAATCGGTTGACCTGGTAATTCAGCCCTGATGAAGGATTCCAAGTAATGAAAACAACATCTTCAATCACTTCATTACCATATCCTTTAAAGCTACACTTGATTCGTCAGAAGAGGAGTTCAGTGCTGCTGGGTAAACTTGACCAGCATTTTTTTAAAAAAAAGGAGAAAAAAGTGCTAACGCTGGATGACATAATCTCCGTCTAAATCAATTTCGGTGTGAAAGCACTTGACTCAGCTCAATATGTAGCTGCAGGGCTTCTGTTAAGTGGCTGCTGCCACTTACCTATTAATTCATGTGCTACCGGTTGCGCTCGTGGTCAAGATTAACCCGATATGTCGGGATTTAAAAATAATAATAATAAAATAATACCACAAGGCAAAGGAAGACATGTGCCAGAGCGTTTAGGAGAAACTGAAGGGGAAAGATTATGAACAAATCATGATGCAAGGAGGTTTTGGAGCAAGCAATGATGCTGTTAACAGAATTAGAAAATGCCTTTGCAAGACTGAGGAGCTGTCTGCGGGCTATGGCGTGCTATGGTTTTGCAAAAAAAGAAAAAGAAAAAGAAAAAAAAAGCATGGCTGCAGCAGTTGTTACTTGATGGGAAAAAAATGGTGACATACAGCTTGTAAGGCTACAGAGCCTTCTGTCACTCATGTGTAGGGAGTGATGAGGGAGTATGGATTTTATGCATTTCTTTTTTTACGCCAGCATCTGTTCTAACTTTTACATCAGTATCACTTTCCTGATTCTCAAATATGTTCAGTGGGTAAAAGCCAAACCACCACGACCAGCTCCACTCTGGTCAGAGCCAGACTGGAGCTTCAGACATTCATCTGGACAACCATAAACCATCATCCATCCACCCAGAGGAGGGAAGCAGGCAAAAGGAGGAGAAGCACAGAGAGAGCTGACTTGCCAAGCAACCACTCAGCAGAAATAATGTGAAATATAACTACGGCTGGGTTCTACTCCCATCCCTCCTCACTCTGGCACACGTTATTTCCCCCCTCCACCAACACACGATCGTGCTCTCTTACTTTCACAGGCGCACGTACACAAAACACGCACGCATGCTGACGCACCGGAGAGATGTGCAAATGCGCACAGTGTTACACAATTAACGTCGAGAAGGAGGAGGGGAAAAGAGAGAGAAGAAGAATGCGTAAAAAGAACAGTTGGTGTGCGCTGACGGACTAATCCGCTCGGATAGTTACGTTTTGAATGAAGGATACAGAAGAAGACTTTCAGCGGTCCACTTCTACTGCCGTACTGCAGCCGTGAACAGCTCCACACAACAGAGGAGGCTCTAAAGATAAAAAAAAAAAAAAAAAAAAAAGGAGTCTCTGGGATTTACGCGTAACAGCGGGACAAATGCGTTCTATCCAAAAATGCGCATTTAAGCGCTGCGTGTTGGGATTCCGTTTATTAAAGGTGGTAGATAGTCAGGAGGATCGTGTGCGCGCACAGAACATGAAAATGTCAGTGACAAAAACGAATCGTGGGTTTAAACAGATCCACGGGGGGCAGCATGGTCCAACTTTGGCCAAAGAAACAATTGCATTTAACTTACCAACAAGCAGTTTCCAAATGATGGCGTACACTTTGTGGTTAGTTCTAATAGCCCCACACCATCACGGTGTATCCGAATCTGCTCCGGTCGACAGAGTAAAGCAGAAAGGGTTTAAAAAAAAATAGAATACAATAAGGAATTCCAGGAGAGAGATAGTCCACTTCTCCAAAAAGAAAAAAAAGAAAAACGCAGTGTCTGTCCCCAAATTACATATTGCCAGTCCTCGCTGGCGCAAATTGGAGCGCAAAAATAAAACCAAAAAAAGAAAAGAAAAAACAAAAACACCTGCAGCCGGTCGCTTTCAAACAGCAGGAAAGAAGAAAATCATGACAGTGATTGGAAGAATGTTCGACGGAAATCAATCAAGGGCAAGATCGGGAGAGGCAATTAGTCTGGTTATCCTGTTAAATCAGCTGCACGGCGGCTCACGGCCACGGAAGCCCGGCAGGTGAGCTTTCAGCTTTAAGCACGACTGCGCGAGAGCGAATTTCCAAAGTGATGTGCAGAAAAAAGGCACACCAGAAGCCTCCTCTCTCTCTCTCTCTCTCTCTCTCTCTCTCTCAGTGCCGCTGTACCGACACCAGATGCGTCAAGTGAGGACAATTGAACCCAAGCAGCACAGGACACGACGAGATTTCCCTTCAACATAAAAGTTGAGCGCGCACTGGCGGTTAAAAAAAGAAGAAGGGCTGGCTGAATGACCCACGTGGGTCTAAGTAAGAATTGTGGGGTGTAGCTAAAAGCTCCATACACTGTGTCACAGTGTATTTACATTAATAAGAAGTAGCACAGATCCGGTGGAACTGCACCCTCTGCCCATTTCTTCCCCTCTTTCCTCGTTATTGTGATCGAGAGCAAGTTCGACACTCTTTCCCTTTCCCCAGAGTTGCTTTTATTTTGAAGAACAACTCTTATTTTCTCTTATTTTGTCTGCCTTGACATTTGCTTTCTCTCAGACCTGCGGTCCTCTGGAGTCCTCATCCTCCACATGGCGCACTGGCAGAAGCTCACCAAAATACGCACGGGAGGATAATCATCCTCATTATGCGCCTGCTTCGACAAACAAACACAAATGTGGAGAGAGTACTTTTTTCGCCGGCTTATGCTGTGAGTAGAGTGCGCAGGCAGACGGGTAATGCAGTGAAGCTCAAGTTTGAGGATAGACGCACTGCCGCCCAATGGAAATAACAGAAAAGCTCTGAAATGCACTATAAAAATGCTGTCTTTAGCAAGTCACTGAAGGGCAAATGTGTAATATTAGTGTCTAATATTGGTCGTTGGTAGCTGATTAAATGACCATCATGATATGGGGAAAATTAGTGAATATTATGTCCACATGAATATTTAAGAAAAAATGCAAAAAGAATATTAACACAGCTCATTTCTCTGCAACCTAAAATGAGAGTATATTTCCTGTGAATTTAGAGAAGCATGTCAGAAAATCAGAGCCTGTCATGAGGAAATGATTTCAAACTTTGAAAAGTAGATTTTGACTTTACAGTTTTTGCAAAAGGATGAAGAAGTAAAAGTCCTCTGCTTCTTTTTTCCTTTTTAGGGAATTTATATCCACGACTGTAAGACTGGTAATACAGAATAATTTAAAATGGTTAAAGACAGAAATCTTTGCCGAAATCTTGGATAATTATGCAGAGTAGCTACGCATGACCTAACACAAACCATATCTTCATTTCCAGCAGAAGGGGCTATACATGCTGTGCCTATTACCACCAAGCCAGTTATTTTTTCCTGGTCTGCTTCTGGTAGACTTCTGTAGGCAATCATGTTTCCAGTTTTCATTACACTGACTATTAAAAACGCACTTTTAAATACAACAAAATATATAAAGAGATGTCTCAGTTTTTATCACAATGTGATATATCTACATCTGACATCAGTATTCATTCCACTGTATCAATATTTATCACCATCTTTCTGCTGCTCAATATTAACAGTAAACTGAGATGAATGTGACAAGTCTGCTGAAAAGCCTGAAAGGATTTCCATCTGTGCAGCTCAGGTATTACTGGTATTTATGAATAACCAAGGATTCACTCCAATCCAAACGGGTAACAGACAAAACCCTGAATCACTAAAGATGATGAATAGACAGTAGAGCTACCCCGCCATCCTTCCAGAACTGCAAGGGTGGGATTCAGATTAAGGACTTGTAGGTAAGCAGGCCTCCCTGTCGGCCAGGCAGTCAGAAAAAAAAAGGGACTCGTTTGATTTCCCCCTCACTGGGCTACCCCTGTCAAGACTTTGGCCTCTGGCACTGCACTTCTGTGAGGCGAATTTCGATGAGGGGAGGGCTTTGAGGAGGCGAAAAACCACCCTTCTCGGACTGAAAGTGTGCACTTGTGAGCTTTCTTTGTCATATCCAGATCCTGATGTGAATAGAGGCTCCTTAATGAGCGAAGAAGTGGACAAACACTGCATTGATTCACCCAACTTCTATTCGAGGTTTGCGTCCGCAAATGCCCTCAACTCAACCGGTTAGTGTGCAACTTTGAGGACTTAGTGTCTAGAGAGGGTTGATTGTTTGCTGCCAATGTGAGGATTTGGGTGAGAGCCTGGAATATCAGTGGACTGGTGATACAATAATTTCGCAGATAAACCAAAGACTCAATGGACATATTTTTCATCTCTCTTATGAGTCGTAATGTAGACTCGTTAAATTTCTCCTTACTACGTTTGGGATGTTCAGTTTTGCTCATCTACAAGTTAAATAGCTTTAAGGATAATGATCAAATCCCAGTTCACAAACTCAAAAACTTCACAGAGCACAAAGCAGAGCTGGTTTCCAAGTCTCTCAAAATACAGTTCCTCTTGATAACATCGGTATGAAGCTTTACACTGCTCCAATTAAAAATGACACATCTACTGATGGAAATACTTGTCAGGTGTTTGTATTAAATGATAAGCTACATGAAAATACAACTCTGTTTATAAAACTTTTATTTCAAAAACATGGAATCAGAAACTGCTGCGAAACTTTGAGAGACTTGTTTAAAGTCAAAATCTGAAGTTTTTTTTGTGCATTTTTGAACAAAATTCTTTATTAAAAAAAACTCTCAGACTAGTGAATCCTTTCAACAAAGTAAAATATTTCCAGTAAATAAAAAGCAGCAAAATCTCAATTATATCTTGAAGCGGAATACTTTAAAAGGAGTACGTTCAGTTTCTTCTTATAGGATCACATGTACAATCTTTAATGTCACTGGCTTTATAGGAATTGGTCCAAAAATGAGAAAATATCCAGTGGTCAAACGGTCAAGCTGCTTGGAGCTGATAGGAGTGCAGCAGTAACTTAAATAGCCACTCATTACAAACAAGGTTTGCAGAAGAGCATCTCTGAGTGTATAACTGTCTCCTGTATTCCTGGTGTCTTGTCTCTAGTGAAGGTTTGGTTTTCCCGTTCTCCTCACTTAGTGTTGTGTGCTTGGTTCTGAGCCTGTCATGTTTCCACGTCTCGTGTCAAGTCTGCTTATGTCTCATGCTTCCTGTTTTATTTTGATACTCCTTATCCTACGTAAAGGCATCTAATTTTGCTTCCTCCTGTCTCTTTATGTCTGTTTAGTCCCAGCTGTGTTTCCACCTGTTCGCCATCCTCTCGTTATACTGCCCATGTATTTTAGTCCTCAGTCTTCCATGCTAGTTGTCATGTCGTGCCTCCTTTAGTGCTGTGTGTTCGATCCGTGTTCCGAGTTTCCATAGCTCCTAGTTTATAGTTTCCTTAGACCTTAGTTTGCTAGCTTCTAGTTATCGTGGCTCAAGAGTTGGGAGTTCGCCTTGTAATCGGAAGGTTGCCGGTTCGAGCCCCAGCTTGGACAGTCTCGGTCGTTGTGTCCTTGGGCAAGACACTTCACCCGTTGCCTACTGGTGGTGGTCAGAGGGCCTGGTGGCGCCAGTGTCCGGCAGCCTCGCCTCTGTCAGTGCGCCCCAGGGTGGCTGTGGCTACAATGTAGCTTACCATCACCAGTGTGTGAATGTGTGTGTGAATGGGTGGATGACTGGATATGTAAAGCGCTTTGGGGTCCTTAGGGACTAGAAAAGCGCTATATAAATACAGACCATTTACCATTTTTACCATTATACTTTGTTTTTTGTGTCCTGTATTCGAGTTTTTCACAGCACAAGCTGCCTCCTTTAGTTCATCCCTCTGTGTCCTGAGAGTCCTGCATTTGGGTCCAATCTCCTGCCTGCTACACAGCAAACATGACAATAACATATTGAACCTTGAAGCAGATGGGCTTCAGCAGCAGAAAACCACACCGGCCACAGCTAAGAACAGGAAACTAAGGTTACCATTCACAGAGGCAACAAGAGGATTCAACAAACATTGTCTCGTCTGACAAGTCCTGAACATATCATTGAGACTGGTCATGTTAGCATTTACCAGATCTCAGTCCAGTAGCATACATTTGGGATGTGGTGGAATGTGCGGGATTATGGCCATACCACCCTGAGAATCTCTAATCTTGTCTGATCTAGAAAGCCAAGTAGAGTTGGGCTGTGTTAATACTTAGCTGGGAGACTAATCGGGAATACCAGGTGCTGTATGTGGGTGGCTATGGGTCTATACAGCCAGTTGTCTATCAATCAGAAGGTTGGGGATCGATTCCTAGCTCCTCCAGTCCATGTGCTGAAGTGTCCTTGAGCAAGATACTGAACTCTGGTGCCCTTGATGTATCTAGTGGTGTGTATGTGATAGATTAAGTGAATAAAATTTGTATTCACCCAATCTGTAGCATCACTGTGTGATTCTATCATATCAGTATAGGCTAAAATATCTGAAAAACTTTTTCAGCACCTTACTGAATCTATGCTATGCTAGAATTACAGCAGCTCTTATGGGTTTCTGAAGGGGTCCAACCTGTGCATGTATTAATTGCTTGTGATGATTGCCTTCCATTGTTCATAAGAACAGTGATTTCTGTAGTTCCTATTCCCAGGTAAGAGTTGTTGGAAATTCTGGACGATCTCCCTTTATGCAGACCCCCGGTTGACACAGTCTAAGGCACACGTAGGATCAATCAGTAGTCAGACAGACATCTGAAGTCCCTAAACAACTGAAAGAGTTGCCATGAGACTGTAGCCGAACATTCTCTGCTGCTATCACTTCAGTAACAACTGAAATGTAGAAGTATGGAAGCTTGCTTCCGGCACTGAAGAAAAAAAATACCATCCATAACTTAAAATTTCTAGTTAGCTCTACCATCCAGGAAGCTCTGCGAAAGACGTGCTTTCCTTGAATCATAAATTGCGTTCATGTTGAACTGTTGAACAGCTGATGCCTTCTGCTTCCAGGTAACAAGGAAAGTATGTACTTCCTGACTGGCAGAGAAAATTTCAACTGTTAACTCAAAATTTTTAGACGCCCTACACTGGCCATTAGCCACCTGCCCTTTTAGCCTTGAGATATGAATGGTAACTTTTTTTTTTCAGTGCTGGAAACAAGCTTCCGTAGATAAGTCTACTGTTGAT